TTAGCACCTCCCTCCATCACCACTGACTGGACCACGTCACCTGAAACAGCTCAGCCGTACACACAGAGCAAGACTCCCCCAGGAACCTTACAAACTCCCAGTTCAAACAGTTAAAGCACTCACAGACATTACAGATGCTATCAGGGTGACAAAGACCCCCTTTTAGCCAAGATTGAACAGTTCTGGCAATGACAAGTGATCAAATCCAGCTTGTGACCTGAGTTACAAATGCTGCCCTCCTCCTTCTCCTATAGTTTGTTGCCAGTTGTCTATAAACTGGTGGGAGAGCTAGTGAAGCACTTGATCTAGGCAGCACTGAGGGATTCACAGCTCAAAGAATGTTAAAAATACATTAAGAAATAAGGCTGTATGTGTAACAAAAAGAATAAGATGTTTAAGCTCTAGCAAGACACTCCAAATCTTCAGCATGCACTAGAAACACTATTAAAAACAACAACAATTTTTACTAAGAATCACAGGTTCTTTCAAGTTGAAAGAGATCTTTAAAGGTCACCTGGTCCAACTCCTCTGCAATGAACAGGGATATCTGCACGTCAGTCAGGTGCTCAGAGACCCATCCAGCCTGACCTTGGGTGTCTCCAAGCACAGAGCTTCGATCACCTCTCTGGTCACCTCATGTCAGTGCTTCACCACTGCTAACGTAAAAAACTTCCTCCTCATGTCCAATCTAAATTTCTCCTCTTTTAGTTTGAAACTGTTTCCTCAGGTCCTATCAAGTTGTCCAACCAAATCTCTCTCCTGCTCTTCCAGGCTTTATTTTCCATTCAGAGATGCTATTGTTTCCATAGTATTTTTATTATTAGACATATTTCAAGATTATTATATTGACTCATAAAATAATCTAATACTTTCACACGACTTCAAAAAGAGTTGCATAAATTAATAAATACTACAGAAAATGTAATACCTTTCCTAAGAGCAAGTATGTTCTCTGTCTCTCTTGCTCAAACCCAGCTTTGTGGGTTTTTGTTTATTTTTTACAGGGACTGGGAGTGAGAATCTGACACAACATACAGGCTAGCTGGTAGCAACTGGGAATTTACAGGGGGAATGGGAGTGTTGGGGAGTGACGGTTGATTTAGAGTGCAGGGGGCTGTGGGATGGACAAGCCCCCAGTCCCAGGGCCTGGCTTTAGGCTGCATTATTTCTACTCAAAGCTCTCCCAATCCACAAATGAAAGGAGCCAACCTGTTGTCAAAGTTTGCAAGAAGTTAAAGGTGGTTCTGATGGAGCCTGTCAAAGTTACTGTGAACAAACTCTATGCATGAAATCACAGTTCCCTTTAGAGAACATCTTCACAAAAACAGTGGGCTTGAAAGTTTTCTTAAAGCAAACCAAACTCAACATTGGTCAGCAAGAATCTCCTGGAAAAATGTCTGCATTTGCTGAAACATTTCAAATTCTTATTACAAAGCTGAGCACTAACAGTAGTTTTCTTCAACTGGGAAAGTATCAAGACATCTACTGCATCTCTCACATGAACTAAGTACATGTGAGCACATTGTATGCATCTGATGGCACACACTGCAGGTATCACACAAACAAGCCTGAAAGATACATCATCAAAGTCTCATTTCAAAATGTAAGAAGAATAGAAGACAACTAGGCTTTCTGCTTCACCGTTTTAGAATTCTTTTGCAGATTACAATGCAACATGCTGAAGTTTCTTCATCACAGCAAATGTGTGGCCGGGGAGTCACACCTTCAGCTGGCTCACAAATAGTAAGTAATTAAGTGCCTGGATGAGCAATGATTCTGCTGTGTGAACTACTTACAAAAAGAAGCGATTGCGCTGCAGTTATAACACAGACTTAAATGGATAGTACCATTTGTCACAAAAAAGATTTTGGTGCACAAAGATAGATTTAAAACGTTCTTCAAAATAAGACTTTTCCCCATGATGAAGGATGTCCATTTCTCATTTTCATCTGTTGGGGATTTTCCCACAGCCAATGCAAGCCAAGTGCTTTGGGCTCGTACCATATTCCTGTGGTTCTAATTTCTACATCAAAGCTCAGCATGGTCTCTTATTGCCTCAGAAAGCATCATGCAGGAAAGCATCCAGCGAGCTTCTCACTTTGGTGAAGGTCTTCGAGGATCCCAGCAGGAACAACTGTATATTATGGATTAGCAGAACAGAAAGCATATAAAAGCAGCAAAACAGAAGCTGGGAAATACAAGAGGAACACTGAGAGTTTGGGATGCCACAGTTTCTAGTTGGTGCTTTGATGGGAGCTTGGGTATGCCAAGGAGGGCTAGATGCAGAAAAAATATTTGAGATTATGAACTAATTTTAGTTTCCTGATCCCTGCATAGAACTGGCATCCCTGACAGGTATTAAGGACTCATCAGGCTTCACAACAACCAGCATGCTGAGAGAGGAGCTGCTTGATCAGCAAATAGGAAATTCCAGTAACAAACGTGCTCCTAAAATCCTGCATCTCTTCTAGGTTTGCAGATGCTGTTCTGGAATAACACAGTTACGTCTTTCATTTCTTTAAAAGAATAACAGGCATCATTCTTTTCCTTTAAAGCACAACAAAAGGAGAAGCTGGTAACCTTAACCCTCTTTTTAATACAGCATTACGACAATGAGAACACTCACTCTTCATTCAGGAGATCCAGACTCTGCTGCTTAAAAGCCTGACACTCACTTCTCACCATCAGGCACAGCGATGCTGAAGCTAATTCCCAACAGAAGACTAAGAGCAAAAAAAGAGCATGTGGAAAAGGAAGCAACTGTAACTCAGTGGGTCCACGGACTGGCTGGAGCCTGATCTGAAAGTTGACAATTCTTAAATAAAAGAAACAGCTCTTGGTTTTGAAACCAGTTAGAATAAGTGGACTGTAAAGCCATGTTCCCTTCTTCTCTCCCTCTCCAGGCCATGAATATTTAATCCCTTTATGCAAACTGGAAGAGTTGCAATACAAGGTTAAATTAACCTAAATAACCTTGAAATCCTTTGTCAATTTGGGCCTCTGAGTCAACTCCCAACCTGAGATGGAAGAACTTTCTTTGCACAGTGAGTTGTGTATTTAACCTTATTTAAGTACTGTGCAGTGTGACAAAAATCTTGGGCTTAGAATTGGGTTTGACAGAATTTTTAATTTGTTTAATATTTTCCAGGTTAAAGTCCATTGTTCAGGCAGTCCAATTGCTTAACAAACGTTTGCTTCTCAATTTTCAATACAAAATTCTTCCTGGGTGAAGGAATCATTTACAGCGTTCTCAAAACCTGATTTGATTAACACAACACACACACATGCTGGTGTGTTTTGCTGATCCCCATGTCCTTTCAGTGCAAATCTAATTAGTACAACTTTATCTTTTGCTCTGCTTTGTAGGCAGAGTTCCTTGCAGACCAGCTATACATGTAAGCCAAGTCTGTGCCTCATTCACACATCACGATAGCATCAAAATAAAAAGACATTTGAAAGTCTGATATGGCAACTGAGTTTCAGATTGAATTCTTGAAGGTTTTTTTTTTGTTTAATTTTCCTTCCTTCAAACCATAACCCTACAAGTCATTCTCATGGTTGAATTCAGAGAAGAGAAGCTGTGTCTCAGTCAGACTATGCAAGAAACAGTTTCATGATCTCTTTATAGAAGGGAATTAAAAAAAAAAACAACAACCCAAAGATTATTCATCACCCTGCCAGCTAATCATTAAAATCTGGAAACCTTAGATGCTCCTATTTTAAGAGGTAGAAATAAGAAAAAATGTTTGAAAATCCTTCTTAACAAAATCTTTACTAGGATAACATGTACTTACTGTTATAAAGGCTGTTTTAACACTTAAATTATCTGCCTACTCAGAAAAATAAATGAAATATCCAACACAAATATTATTAGACTGGAACTCAGCAATGAAGTAATGAAACACCTGAGAACTTACAGACACAACTGAGGCAGCAAAATAAGTTTGAATATCTCAGTATGGTGTTCTATCACATCTCTCTTACAGCCCAGTGCTCACTGAATGTGGTCCTATAAATCATCTTTTCCCTAAACGTTAGCAACAGAGGAATTTGACAATAAATAGACATTTTCACTCAGCCTCAGTATAGATCACTCCCTCCCAACTTTATTAAGTCTATGCCAACACGTTTCAATTCTCCTTTGCTGTTTGCAGCTCCCAAGCAGAAGTGCTGAATCAGATCATCTCCTGAGCTCCCTACAAGCTCTGTTTTTTCTGACTGTAAACAAAGTTGATAAACTTCCATTCCTAATAATGTCAAATAAGTGACTCACGTGCAACTGATCTGGCATTTATTCCACGACATATACTTCTCATTAAGTGAATTTGTGCTAACAATCATACAGCTTGAGAATGTTTCTCTGTTACAAAGCAAATTTGGAAGCCGGAAAGAAAAAAAAATAAGTAAAAAAGAGAGAGAGAGAGAACTGTACATCAGCATTCAGGCTTTTTACTGTTCTCCCACTGCCTGTCACAAAGTTACCGGCAACCTATAGGTGTCATCTGTCATTTGGTTACAACTCCAAGCAGCGCTGCTGCTTTAGAAACCAACAGGGCCCTTCCTGAGCTTTTGCTAATCACAGGTGAAAGGTCACTCTCACTGAGCACTGAGAAATAAACACAACTCGCTGACATGACAGGGCGAGCAGCGTCCGAGCACCACACAGATTACGATCCGAATGCAAACGTCCTGGCTCAGAAGAGATCTTAGCAGCGCTGTCACGCAGCTTCCTGAAGATTACTTAGGACCAGAGAAAATCCCACTAGAAACACAGTAAAGTCAATACAATAAGTAACCTGTACTTAACCTCGCAGCTGTGATTAGATATTATTTAATGACAGCGCTGATGGCATCGCCTGCTGACAGGCCGCAGGTCCCAAAGCAAAGCGGTTGGATGGAAGCGGAGTTTCCCCATCTCCTTCCCGTGTGAGCCCTTCGGTACCTACTTCCAAGCCGGGAAACTTCTCCGGGTACTTTCCCCACGAACCAATCGCACTCACCTTCTCGGCAGAGTCGCATCGCTTCTCGATTTTTCCCGTATTCCTTGAAACTTTCTTCTAGTGCAGTTCCTGAAACAGAAAGCGCCCGGAGCTCAGCGCACGCCCACCCGGCACAGCCCCGGCTCTGGACGCGGACCCTCCCGGGGGGCAGCGCCGCTCGGAGATGCTCGGCAGCACCGCGCCCGGCAGGGGGAGCGGGAAGGAGGGGACTGCCCACCTGCTGCCCCCGGCCCGGGCTGCACTCGGGCTCCCCCAGAGGTCGGGCCCCGGATCAGGGAGCGGGGGGATAATAGAGGGGAGATCGCCTCCTCCCGGGCCCTCCCACCAGTAGAAGGGCGGCTCGCGGGGGGGCCGGTCGTCCGCTCACCGTCGTTCCCGTGAAGTTTAGCGGCGTCGACCCAGTGGCTCCAGGGCTGCCCCAGCATCGCCTCGGGGCTGGGCAGGGACCTGCGCTCCCCGACGGCCGCCATTGCCGCTGCGGTGGCGGCGGGGCCGGCGCCGCTCCCGCCTCCTCCGCCTGCGCCTCCCTCGCCGTGCCGGGGCCGCCGCTGCCGCTGCCTGGCCGCCGCCGCTCTGCGCTGCTCCCTTCTGACGTCACCCGCGGCCCGCGCCGACATTCTTTCCGCTGCTACAATGTAACGAGAAAAGTCAGCGGGCGCTTAAGGTGGCGCCGCGCTTAAGGTGGCGCCGCGCCGCTGTCAGCCCCGCGCCCGCCCCCTCCTTCCCCGCCGGCTCTGCCTTTCCTCTCGGGAGCCTGCGAGCCCGGGGGCAGCTTCGACTCACCTCTGCGGCGGCCCGGGGGGCAGGAGCCGAGTGCCCATTATGTATGGGAGCGCTCCCTCCTCTTCGCCGCCCAGGTGAGGCGCGTTTGGGCGCGTTTGTGTGTTTGCGCTAACAAAGCGGCGGGGGCCGGGCTACGCCGCCCGCCAGGCGCTCCCCGGCTCCATGGGCCGCCTTTCCCTCTCCGCAGCACGACCCGCGACCCTACAAAAACAACGGCCGCATCACAACCCCGCCCGGCCTCCCTCCCGCCGCCGTCCCGGGCCGAGGGGCGGGCACGGGGCTGGGCCGGTCTCCCCGCCCCGCCCCTCCGGGCCTCCTTAAAGCCCGCCGGCGAGCGGCGGGGCAGCGGCGAACGGCAAGCAGGAAACGCGCCCCCGCCCCGGGACCTGCGCCGTGCTGGAGGCGGCCCCTCGCCGGGCAGCGCTTCGGGGCCGGAGGGCCGCGAGTGGCGATCGGCGGTGCGGCACGGCACAGGACCTGGCAGCGGCTCCCGCGCGGCCGTTACGGGCGCTGCCGGCGCGGGCCGTTTGAACGCGGCGGTTTCCCCTTCCTCGCCCCGGTTTGGCTTTCCGCGCTGACTTCCGCACAGAAGCGCTGTTCCGGCTCGCAGGGCTGCTGCCCGTGCCCTGAGATAGGCGCTACAAGTGACGAGCGCTCGGCGAGCTCCCTGAAACTGAAAGTATTTGAAAGACGCGTTCGCTCCCCTTAACTGTTAATAACGAAGCTATGGAGTTCTCTAATAAACTAATTCCGACGCCAGGCTTCTCGCTATGAGATTCTCTTTCCGACCGGCCGCTCTCTCAGCAGCGATCCCCCCGGAGCCGCCCGCTCCGCGCCCTCGCAGTAAAACCTCAAAGCCCAACAAAGCCGTTGGGCTGCTCCGGCCCGGTCCTGCCGGGCTTGGTTCACGCTCCATTATCTCCTTCGTGGAAACACAGCCCCAGAAGCACGGAGTTTAAAGGCTATCGGTGATCCTTTCCAAATGTAGGAGTGTAAAATTTGCTGTGTACAATCACATCAGGATGTGATTGTAATTGCACGATGGGCTGCAATTATAAGCACGGTTTCGGCGTTCCAGCCCACTGATCACTGTCTGTCAAACTCAGGCTGTTCTGTATTACAATGTTACACGGCACTGTAAGGGAGTTTTTTCTCCCTTATTGATCACTCCAGCTGCCTAAGAAAAGGTAACTTAAAAGGCAAACACCGTAAGATTTAGATAAAGATAGCCCCAGTGACTAGCACCACAGCCAGGTGAAGTGATCCATCAGCTCCTGGAGCTGGGCCCTGATGCCAGGTCGATCAGTTCGATGCCTTTAACTGAACTGCCATTTCCCAGAACAGTGGAATCTCCTTCCACTTCACGGCCACATATGAGGACAAAGCGCTTAAGGGACCAGAGTTGAAAGATAACTGAAGAATGAGGGGCGTTATTCCTTTATTAATGATCAAAGAGCGTGTTTTATAATATAAATAACGACTTACAAATTAAAGCTAAACACATCAGCGGGAGATGTCAGTCAGGTGTTAAAGCAATCCTGAATTTCTGAACAGAAGTTCAACTAATTTTGTGCTGTAAAAGCCAGCCAGAAGGGAGATGAATCAATTACTGATTGATTCTGTGCTCCACAAACACCCACAGCTGAACTCAGACTCCAGCCATAGAACAAGGTGTGTTACAGACAGTTATACCCTCATTGTCAGATGTTCTGATTTCACAAACTGTGCTCATACATCTCTGCTTTGTCCTGAAGGAAGCTGTCAGCTAGCTGTCCCTGCTGCAGTTTGAAAGACTGATGGCAGGGCCCATGAAATTCACCAAGAATTTCACTATTGTTATTTATTTTCCATTCATCCTACAGCAAATAGTGATGGGTGTCCATACAGAGCACACCACCACCTGCCTTTCAGCAGCAACAGATTTTACACTGACACTGAATTACTGTTCATACATTACCACTCTTTCCTTTAAATGTTACTGAAGTAACATTTATGTTATGTATGTTATGCTATATATGAAGAATTACATCAAGGTAGAATGCCTTAATTTGATAAAGTTGCCTTTGATTAGGTAAGTACCTTAATGAGCTAATTTATTGCCAGCTATTCAGGTTCTAGCATGAACACTCATCAAGTTACTCAGAAGTGGCTCTAGCTTTAAAAGTGCCAAACAAGTAAATATAATTACTTTACTTCATCCATCTCCCACTGCCTCCTCCTTGCTGTTTTTTGCTCTTTCAAGCCTGTTGTGATTTTTCCCCTCTCTCTTCCATAGCTTTGTTCCTATACATTCCCACTCCAGATCTAATTTTGTGGTCTGGCCTCCCTTAGTAAGCTTCCTTCCTCTAGTAACAATTTTTCCCACTATGCCATGAATACATCAGTGTTCCAGCAGAGGGAGGAAAGTGGCAGCAGAAAGGTGGGTTGATCAGTTCAGTGCACAGGACTGATTAGTCAGAGAGGAGGAATATTCTCTCCCACAAACTCACTATGCTGAAGATGTGACCAGGTTGTTTCTGTTTTTATTTTTAAGCACACAAGTTCCATTCTCTTAAACCATTTCCAAAGCACTATGCATGGTTGTGCTGATGATTTTAGAGGAAAAGAGGCAAAGCCCTGAAAAGCCATCCCGTTAGAAGGTCAGAACTGAAAACATGTATATAAGCTGTATACTTTGAACAGAGATGGCTATTAGGAATCTGACACACCCTGGTTGGAAGTACAGTCATTCACAGCTGGGCAATCAGGAGAGCCAAGGAAGCTTTTGAGATCAGTTTGGTCCCTCCTGATCCAAAAAAGCTTTTGAAGAAGCCGTTTTCTTCTCACTAACCACAGAGTCAAGGATGACCATGCAACTAAATTGAGTGCTTCTTAGGTGTCCAGAATTAAGAGCGATGAATCAGGTCAAGATCAGGCAGAACACTCCAGTGGGAAGAGCTGCCAAGAAGCCCATGCTGCTTTAAGAGAGCAAAAAGTTGTCCAGAAACACTGTCGATTCAAAGGGCTTACCTGAGGGAGCAAAACAGCCCAAGAAGTGATGTTGGGAATGGGATTGTGACTGAACAACAACACACATAGTGAAGAACTGAGAGAAAAAAAAACAAAACATGGAGGAATAGTTCAGCTCAAAGACATTAAGTGGAAAAGGAAACGTGAGGCAGGAGAACAGCAGAAAGTAGCAGCTCATGCGGAGAAGACAGCCAAGTAGTGGGGTGAAGATAAACAAGCAAATAAAAATACAACACAACCTGTAAATGGAAAGAAAGAATGGAGTCAGTAAAACAAAACACACAGAAAAGGGGATAATGCAGATTCAAAGCTCACTGAACAGATTCAGCAATATATTAAGCATGGTTGGTAATGCTTCAACTAAAAGCGTGCTTACCAACAGCTAACAACTGCTGAAAACTGAGGAAGGCTACGCTGTGTCATGACACTGCAGGCATTTCCCCACATGCACTGACAGGTTTCATTCTTCTGCCAGGTGGTCCTGGAAAGCTGTTCAAACAGGGAACACCTCACTCAGGTGTTCAGTTAGAATCTATGAGACAACCTCCGCGCAAGACCTGAGATGGGATCATTCTCATTTGGAATGGAAAAGGAAGAGTGAATCCGCAGCTAAACTCTTATGAGCAGAAGTACAATGTTACTCACTGGTGATTTTCCACAACAAATGTGAAAGGATGTATGAACTAAAATGTTGAAGGGAGAGAAAGAAGAACCTATGAGGGCATCGTGTCATCAGTACTGAGAAGAAAAGAAAATAGCACGTTCACCAAATAGCCTCTTGAGGAAAAGAAGTGAGGGGCATCGGGGCACAGAAGGAAATCAAGTAAGTTAATTGTAACCAAAGGGTTTGAAGCAATCAGGAAAAAGAAAAATATTATTACAAAGATCTGTTTATAGATGAGAGTCAGGCTGAAATGACAACTGGAGGAGGTGACACACAGAAGCGAAATCCCGACCCTCGTGTCAGCTCCTGCTGACAGCAGCAGAACTAGGAGCAGATTTTGTGCATTTTAAAGTATGTCTGCACTATGAGAAGTAGAAGAATATAATTGGGCAAGTAGAAAGGCAAGAGATAAAAAGTTCATATAAATCAGCATGTCCAGGTGATGAGAGAACTATCCAGAATAACAAAACAGATCATTTCATTTAAGCTCCACCATAGGAAAATGTTAATACAACTAAATGCATTATGGTAATCCGTAGCTCACTCTCACCTCCAGTGAAATCAAGCGACTTCTCCCTTCATACACAGGACTGTGATCCCTCAGAATAACAACCACGAGCAGCACACAATAAAAAGTGAAACATCAAACCATGACAACCTATTATCCTTTTCTCACAGATCCTGGAAATAGTATAATTTTATTTATGAGTAACACTTCAAAGAGAGCTGAAGATGCTCAGAAGCTTTGGAATAGAGCTATTTTAAATAGTGGAAAGTGAAATTACTGTGGATGTCTACTACAAACCACCTGTACCAGGAAAGAAAAAATTATATTGTTCAGATGAGAAAACTAACTTGAAGTATCTTTTTCTGAGAAGAATCACTCAGGGAATGGAGCCTAATAACTGTAAGCAAATCTGATAATCGGATGAGAACACAGTGGATGCCCTCACATATTGATTTAAACTTCACAGTGACTACACTGTTATATTAAAATAATGTAACATTTTAACATCCAGATGATAAATGTATGCCACTGCCACGTCTTATAAAATACACAGCATCTGCCTTATAAAATACTCTCAGTTCTTGCAGAGAATTTAATAGAGAAAATACAGACTAGTCACACAACATTTGCAAATTTTAAATGTCAGTAGGTAAAACTACACATTATACTTCAGTTAATGATTTGGAAATCAAACTAATCTTTATTTATTTTAGATGTGGTATTGAATTCATCTTTTGAGTTTGGAAATGTTAAAACAATCTTGGCAATCTGGCTACACAGATGAATAACTTTAATCAAAGGAATAAGAAATGGGTATGACCTTATACACAGCTGATATGATATTACAACTTACAGTGATTATAATACGCCGCTACTCAGATTAACTGTAACAAAATATTTGGGCCGAATTTCCATCTGTTGAAATCAAAGCACTTAAGGGGAATACTTTGATATCAACAATCACAAGACACAACCTACCTACTAGGCAAGGTTTCAAAATCCTGACTGGTTTCTTGCCAGCTTGTCCATGGCTCTGTGGTAATCCATGGACTCTGGGTCCATGC